TCCTAATGATGGAACTCCTTGTTTACAGTAATAATACCAATGTCTCAGAGTTAATAGACTATTGACTTATTGATGATTGCATGCAACATACATTACATTTACTTAACAAGACAGGAGCAAAATTGGATGGGGAAGAAGAGTTGTGTTTGTGCGTCTTGTCGAGTTTTGGTTGGGGGTGGGAAAGAGTGGTAAGACAGCGCTGCTGTCTGGATTCTAAGTAGATGATGGACCGTAGCTCGTATTCCCATTCCCTCTCATTATCTTGGCCCCCTGAGAACATATGAGGTTACTTACCTTGTTTTGCTCCCTGCCTAATGCCAAGAGTCAGATCAGGGTCATTAGCCTCACTACTTGAAACAAATGGCTTTAGATAGCATCTCAGCCAAACTACAACAAGAAGAGATTAACCCTTTTCTCCCCTTACTGCATGTTTATATATATATATATATATATATATATATATATTTTTAGTAGCTGTAAATCTTGATTATTTTTATTTTCAGCATTGCAAGGTGTTAAATTGGCACGTATTTTCATTGAATTTTCACTTCCCTGAGCCTTGAAATCTTGCTGCATTTCAGCTAAACATCACAGCTGTGTGCTTGAAGACAAAACCCACAGAGGGAGAAGTGGGCAGCGGATCAAAGCGCGAGGAGGATTTGTCTGGCAGATAGTCACTGAGGTCCTGTCTGCTTACACTCTCTCTCCTCTTGTGTCTTCTTGTGCCTTTTTAAGTCTCTACATGCTCAACCAAAACAGTTGCCCCCTCATATTCCCAACATAAAAATTAGAGATCACAGACGGGAACGGGTTAGTCACAACAGCCTCCTCTTTCAACAGTTGTTTTCATATTGCAGCTCATGTGTGTGTGTCCACGTCTACAAGCTGTCATGTTTTTCCTCCTGTTAATGAAGTGCTACACTTTGTGCAGGTGTTTATTTCAGTTAGCTGTCCTTCCTTTCCTTTAAATATCTTGATTAATTTTGCTGCAGTCCCTTTACAAGATGTAATGAATATAAGATCAGAATACCAAAAAAACAAAAAAAACAAAATGATAAGAATATTGATAATTTAACACTGCACTTATCTTGTTTGTTTCCATCCAAAGTCAGTGTGTTGACCAAAAAGTTCTTTTCGTAAAGCTTTGTCATGAGGTTTGTGGCCTATCGGTCGAGGGGTGGCTCAGATGTCTGTTTTGAGCTGAAAGTCACGCCCAGAAGATGGATATAATTAAGACTAGCGCATTTCTTTGGGGAGGGTGTTTTGGTAACTTTTCTGGGTGGTCTAGCTCTACATGCCTGTGCTAGTTTTATTACAAACAGGCACAACATGGTAAAAGCACATACACACCAGCAAAGCAGATTAGTGACGTGGTGCGATGTAAACGTAATCCGGGAGGGAAAAAAATAGGCATGCTGGACGTTTCCTGCTTCACTAACTGCTTCAGTTGTTTTCGCCGGGGTGCAAAGGAACTGATCAAAACATTCGTAGATGCGCACTTGAACGCGACTGCTTCGCTTTACTAAGAATTGTAAATGTGCACCCTCCTGCATTTCCTCACATAGCTAACTTTAGCCTCCATCCAAACCTGTATTTAGCCTCTGAATAGAAGCCAGATGATCCAAAACTGAAGGGTTACATTTATCTGTGTAAACTTACCATAAAAACCATAAATGCTTCTCTGGTCTTTGAAATGTATTTATGTTCTTAAAGCGATCTCATAGCCCAGGGAGCCTGTGACAAAATGGCTGGATTTTCCTGTCGTCAACATTTCACATTCTCACATATTGTACATTGCAAACCTGGGTGGCCCATTAAAAGAGGAACTCTTAAATCTTTCTGTGTTCTCCACTCATTGAACTACTTTGGACCACATTTGCTTCAAAGTGAAACGGCACAAAAATGTAACATGGGTCAATTTATGCATCTCGTGCATGACTATTATTTTTGTTCGTGACAGCATAAATCCAACAAAGCCACTGAATATAAACATACATTTTAGAAGGAAAACATGCATAGTAAAGCTTTTTAATAGAGTAGTTGCAAAGTTGCAATATATTGATTGCTTTCTTATAATTACATTTTGACACATTGATAAAAACAATGGAATAGTGGTAAGTCCCACAAGGAAAGAGCTTCACCAGAAATTCTGATTGATACCGTTTTAACCTTAACCCAAAAAAAACGAAAGAAAACTTCCCGTGTTCCATCTAATGTTCAAGTATCCTAATTTGTGGTTCTTTTCACCATTATCTCTATTCGTCTCTTTGGGTAGCAGGGTAAACACGGATCTTTACAAACATTTGGGTGGTCCCATTCTTTTAGGGGGTTTATATTGGTGAGTATACTGGGGCTTTAATGGTGGCAGTACTCTTCCCTGTTCACAGCAGGCATTGAGACGAGACAGAAAGATGGAAAAATAGGATACAGAAGGAAAAAAAATAGTTTTTCTAGCAACAAACTGTTGCTAAAAAAAAAAAACAGAAAAAAATGAGTTGTTGCTATAAAAAGGTATAGAAAAGAGGATGTACCACTTTCCCCTTCCAGAAATAAGAAATAAAAAATACATCTACATTTTGAACTGACTAATGCCAACACTAAAGCAGTATGAGAGTCTCATGGTGTTATAATATTAAGTTCAAAACCCCACATTGCATTGCATCATGTTTACACACACAAAATACTAAAGCAAAAATGTAAAACATGGTCTAGCTGGGTTGATCTTATTGCTGCTAAAATAACCTCACTCACAGATAACAATTAATAACATAGTAATAATGTTATTTGTAACACTTATTTTATTATTTTGAAGGGTGAAAGTGTCTAGTCCAAGGAGACAACAACTGAGACAGGGTTTTGAACCGTCAACCCACTGCTTACAGGATGAACTCCTACAGCCATTGCCCTTGTAAGCAGAAAAAAAAGTGTAATAGCCTTCTTTCAGCCAGCTAATTAGCAATGTGCAGCAACAGCTGAGAAAGGAGCAGCTTAAAACTGTAACTTTTCAAACTTTGATATACCTTGATATAGGCTGCTACATTGTGCCTAAACAGAAATGAAGTTTTTTTTTTTTTTTTAATCATCATTGTGAACTGAGGACGGGAGTTCTTAGTTGGCATAAAAGATTTAATTTCTCCTTTGTCTGCAGAGAGCAGCTTTCCTGTGCTGCCCTCTTTCCCTGTATTTAACATCAAAGGAAAGTATGAACAATTGAGGCAATTTTTCGCACGGTAAAGGTCAATCATTGTTCTCCCTCTGAAAATGTAGATCCGGCTGAGAAGCCATGCTTCCATGGCATGTCTGTTTCTGCAAGCCACCCTTTAAACACGTTTTAGGCAGATATTTATAGAATATTTCATTTCTGCATGTTTTTCTTTCTAAATTTGATATTTATTTTTTTCGTAATGTAGATGTAATTATCTGAAATTTTCTGGCCCATTTATTACAGCAGTGGTGTTATTTTGTAAATTATGTTTGTAAAACGTACTCCTATGCAACTCAGCGAACAAGATTAAAACTTAGATTAACATGAGGATAAGAATGGCTAACGTAAGTGTATTAATTTTGCAACACACTTTGATGAAGAATAAAAAGAAGTGGTTGAGATATATGTGCTGTGCTTAAATACATGATATTCTGACTTCTAGATATATTTAATAAGGAGTGCATGCACTTGCCATATCTAATTATGACCACTTGCTTTGCTTTTCGCCAAAGGGCAGAAATGATCCCAAGCCAGAAAAGATGGAAGTTTAAAGGGACTCTGAGGGACTACTTAAAACTACAAGCAGTGGGAAAAAAAATCATTAATGCAGCTTAAGTACCTTAAAAAAAAAACACTAATGAATATGATTTCCATGGGAACTTAGATGTGCTTTACTGGCCACAACTCCACGGTACCATGTCTGTTATCTGTAACAACAGAAAGCCAAATGACCTTTGAATTAAATAAAGCAGCATGAAATAATACAACTACAAAAAATGAAGTCTGAATCAAAATGTTTTTTTTTTGTTTTTTTTTTTGTTTTTTTTCCTGACGTTCTAAAGAAAAGCAAAACATAGCTTTGGATAATTGCAAAAAGCAAACCTGTTTCAGGTAGCATAACAAGAAATTTAACTTTCTAAAACATATTTTTTTTAAAAAATAGTTCAACACACCCAGAAATATATATTACATAGTGTTGCTGCATCAATCACCTCCTGCTACACCCAATACGGTTTTATTCCTCCTTCTCAGTCTGGCCAGCTGTAGACGTTAGACTCAGAAATTCTTTTTGATTATTCATTCTGTCTCTCCGCACATTCACTCTCGGCCTCATCCTGCTGCTTCAGCGTCAGACGCAGCGCTGCAGCCGATAACGCATTACAGCCAGTGCCCTCATAATCCTGAAATTCTTCAGTTTATGTCGAGCACCACATGAGAAGAACACAGTATTTACAGCAGCTCTGTTAAAGGAGATAAAAACAGCCACTTCAATGCGCAATTTGTCGGGTGTTTTTTTTATCAAGGCCTTGTATTATACAGACTCCAAAGATGCTGAATTCATATGTTTCTGAAAAGTGGGGCCCTTTTGTTGCTCAATCAGAGGTTAATGTACACACCCAGCAGCAGCTCCTTTTCTGTGCTTCCTAAGACCACCCAAGCTGTTGATAGGATCTGGTCCACTTCAGAGTGGGCTTTCTGCACAAATAAATTCATGCGAGTTATTTAACAGAGTTGAAGCAAACATTAGTTTGCACATCATCTGTTGCTGAATAATTTAAAGTCGAATTTTAAAACTGTTTTTAACCACTAGCTTCGGCGCACACATCAAATGCAGCGTGCTAATTGAAATCAGTCGCCTGTTTGCATCTTGTCTTTTCTTTTTGAGTGCATGTGCCTCTTCCGACTCCCGTGTGTACGCAGTGTGATGAATGTGCATGTGTAAACATTTCAATAACATGCTTTAACCAGACGACACCCTGAATTTACTCTGTACTCCTGTTTGTTTTCTGCCCAGGTCCAGACATGAAGGAGGCACGCAAGGATACACACAAACCCAGTGCAATGGCACCTAGAGGCTGTCTGCGGTCTACCACCACCCTTCTGCACACACACACGCACACACACACACACCCACGTACACGCACTTGCACACAAAGACTGTTACAGTAAGGAACAACAGACCACAGAGTCACGATGATAATCGCAGTTGGAATTCACGAAAACACATTCATTATCTTTTGCTGCTTTCGTCTTTTACTTCAAAGCCAAATTCCAACACTGAAATGTAAAACTTATTACAAAAAATGTATAGAAAATTATTGTGAAAACAGACTAGAACAGCATCGACTTAAAACCAATTTTCTCCTTTAAAGTCTAGATGTTTTAAGCTATTATAAATACGTCTTATACAATGTCTTACTGTTTTTAAGTGTACTTGCGTCAGGGAAATCTAAATCTGTTTTTAGCTCCCTTTTTTTTTTTTCCCCGTCCATTGAACCTATCCATACAAGTTTAACCTCCCCACCGCACATCCCACAACACCTCCGTAACCAACCCGCATAACCCACCCAGCGCCCCTCCCAGGCTTCCCAGCATCCTGCCGAGCACACCCTCCAAAATAAATCCTTCAAGACGAAATTACAGTGCGGCGGCTCTCTGGGAAACCCCTCCCTCTTTTGTATCTCTGCTCCCCCCCCACCCCCGACGTCCCTTCCCTAGTCTCCTTGTTAGGCTTCACTTGATCCACAGTGCAGATAATTTTATTGTAAATTAATCTGTACTATAGCGACCCACACTAATTTCAATCTGTAGTTACAGTTAACTTTAGAAGGTATGAATGTAGCCCTCTATAGAATCTACATTTTTTGTGTCTGATTTTATGTGAATGGAAAGAGAGGTTGATGATTAGTTTTAATTTCTAAAAAGGGTTAATTTTTTTTTCTTACATTTTTGATGAACTACTAATTAGCATACTAATTAAGTTTCTTTGATTGTCCTCTTTAAATGTATCTTGCTGTTATCACTTTGAGCCACTCGGAACACACTGAAGAGGCTACAACTGCTCAGGCTTTTTGTGGGACAAAAAAGAATGTGCATATTTTAGTACTGCATTAGGATTTTTAAATGTTATCCAGTGGCTGCAGTTATCAAGAAATAAATGTGGCTGTCAAGAGTTAAGCTCGCCAAAGCTGTCAAATTTGAGCTAATTATACAGATTTGGAACTTAAACTGAATTAAAAAAACAAAACAAAAAAACAAAAAAAAAACTAGTCAAATGTGAGCTATTCAGTTTGAGAAAGCAGCCCTGGTCATTTCCAGCGTTTTTGGGTTAACTGACGAAGCCAACCTCACAGCAGCCGTGTCACAGTTAAGCTTTAATGATACACTCCATCAGTTCAGCTTTTTTTCCTGCGCGAGGCCAGCTTGGTTAACAGTCGGTCGAGGGTGTGTGTGTGTGTCTGTGTGTGTCTGTGTGTCGGCGTGTGTGTTTGTGTGTGCGCCAACTATTAAAGCACTTGAGAATCAGAGAGGAAAGAACTCACGCTGCTAATGGATGTGTCTATTGATGTTCCCATTTGGCGGCACACTGTAAACGATAGGGCAATGATTGTGCTGAAGATGGAAGGTGGTGGTGGTGGAGGAGTGGAGAGGAGAGCGGTTTGGCTTGGCGATGATAATGACAAGGAAGGTTATTATTCAGCGCCCCATGGAGTCTCTCTCTTTTTTGCCTTTGTGTGTGTGTATGTATTTGAGAGAGAGAGAGAGAGAGAGAGAGAGAGGAAGAGGAGTGGTACTCATCCTCCATGTCTCTCAATGATGTTGCCTTCCCAGTCCATTGGCTATTATTAACTTCTCGCTTTTTCTCTCCCACCCTACACCTCTCCCGACATTACTTACTGTTGCTGCTCTTCATCCAATCATGGCTGTCTCTTTACCATAAACACCTCGTTTTCCTTTTCTAAACAGTCCATATTTTTTAATCTACAGTGCATATCATTCATAATGAGTAAAATAGTCTAAAACGCAGAAGTAAAAGATGATACCGTGAGCAAAGAAGACAGCTGCGTTCTCAACACAGCCAGGGCTAGCATGCAGTTAGGTCATGGTAAGCTTGTTCATTGTAAAACCAAACCATATAGCATCATACGACTGCTTTAAGTTGAGTAAAGTAACAGCTTCCCCCACTGAAATAAACGTATTTGTCATTATGGATGTAACTGTAATATTTTATATTCCATTTTGATATTCATAAATATACACATTAAGTACACCTATTTAAAAAGAGAAAAAAAAATGGACTAAAAAGCTGACTCGGTAGCCAGGCTATGGTTGTTTGCTTCTCAGTCATGTTGCTTGTAGCTTGACAGCTACAGTGTTAAAATAGTGCTTACCTTTATAAGATGGCGAGCTGGTGCTGCGAAATATTTTCAGCCAAATCCGTCTCTCTTGTAAAATACAGTAGCTTTCTTTCAGCCAGCTGACAAACAGTAGACAAAGAGTGAGGGGCGGCGGGTATTACACTATCCTTAAAAAAATACATTAAAACTGTAAACTTGTTTTTTAACCTTTGTACCTCGTATAAACAAAGCTTGCCTAGTCTAACCACTGAATCACGCGCCAGTAGATTTTTTGTTTTGTTTTGTTTTTTACCCAACTGTGCGCGTGTAAGAGCGCGCGTGTGCGCGTGTGTGTGTGTGTGTGTGTGTGTCCTGTCAGTTCCAATCAGTGTGCTCGTGTGATGAATATGAATAGTCAGCCTCCCTGCAGGTTTGGCAGGAGACCACCTCCAGCTGGACTCAGACCCCTGCTCAAGTGTCTTGGTGTGTGTTTTGTGAGTGCGCTTGTACAAGTCAGTTTGTATCTGTCAGAGCGGTGACAACCTCAGGGGGAAATGACAAACTATGCATGCAAGTCACAGAAAATTGAATGCTTCAAGCTCATTTTAAAATGTTCAGTTTTTTTTAGATTTTTGTCATAAAGTGCATAGATAAATTCTGAGATTGGTTAGAATTGTTACATTTTTGCAAGTTTCACGTCCATCTTTCACTCAGTTGTCCCATGTTTCTTATTTTTTTTAGGCACTTTAATCAGTTCACTTCTTCCATATGAGTTTTTAGTCCTTCTTTATTTATAAGAGATTTAAATAATTTCCAAAAATATCCTGTCCTTGCAGTAAGAATCCATCTATCATTCTGTGTGCGTGTGTGTCTATAATTGCAGTGCAGCAGATAAAGAAGGAGACGCCATTCCAGCTGTGAGGAGACAGAAGGCGTCGTGTACACACGGTCACAATAAACACTGCACACACTGACACACTTGCACGTACACACACACACACACACACACACACATATGGTAGGTGGGGGTTGAGCGCAAGCAGGTGAGCATTAAGTCAGGGTGCTAAACAGATCACGTCGCGGTGTGATATCTGCAGACAGGCAGACAGACAGAGGAGGCCGGTCTGTACCTGCAGGCTGAGCGCGGCGACTCGCAGCACCCTCGCCAGGAATTTCCTCCAACTCCTGGGAGGAGGGCGGGTTGACGGTGAAAGACGGGTGCAAACTGCAGGTTCCGCTGTTTTTCTTCAAAGCTGCGTCTTGTTAACCTTATTAAATCTGAAATTGCTGTAGTTAACATTTTTGAACAGTTTCCATTCATCTCGATGTGTAGGTTTTGTAGAAAAATTACATTTTTTAAAGATTGAAAACAGCCTACAGTATGTCTTAAGGCTAATTGCACTTTTAAAAATAGCTTTACATATTCACATTAATTAAGTTATTTGTGAAAATATTTGTTTTTCACCTTCAGTTTTTCTATTTTTCACCATAGAAACCTCGCCTGTTTCATGTTATTTTTAAATTTTATGCATATTTTCCCTCCAGGCAAAAAGCTCACACTTGCAAGCCTAAAATTAGCTTCCGTGATGAAACGAAGCGGAGAAATCAGATTGACAGCGGTGGAGAAAAAATAGGTGCAAAATCTCTGCAGACGCTCCATGTTTGGGTAGAACACATATCTGTCCCTACGTTCTGTAAAACTCAAATATTGAAAGGACAAAAAATAAATAAAACTGTGTGTACACAAGCTTGTCAAGTGGAGCAGAATTCTCAGTGTTTAATCACCTCCTGTATGATTTGTCTGTCTGGAATTACTAGTCTGTTCTGACAGAGTCCACGGTCCTAATTGTGAAACGCTGACAGTGCTCATTACACAAACCTGGCTTACGAATATCCTGGAGCATTGTCGGGGCTCTCTTTTGTTATTTTCTTTCCCCCTTTTTGTCCTTGCACCCAGTCTGCCGAGGAAACACGGCCATTATCACTTACTTCGCTACTTGACGTTAAGAAAAATCCCCTGTAGTTTTGTTCTGTTTTCTGCTCGTCGCCGCTCAGATGCGCTGAATCGACTGTGTGGAGTATTGTTGACAAAGAAATTTGCAATTTGAGGTTTGATAGAAAAGGGGGATTTCAGTTCATGTCTTACACAAATTTGTTCTGTTCACTGGCTCTTTGGTCACAGCCTCATCTGGTCACCTCGTTTTAAAATGATGCTGTTTAATTAAGTCATTCCCATTATTGCCCAAACTCTCTGTACTGCCTTATTCTTCAGGGGTAAAATTCATAACTTTTGAAGTGAGGTTCTATTAAGTGGCTGCTGGGAATAACTCACATGGTGTCTTCATTCTGTATAATTTCAGATGGCTTGGCCCCGGCTGCTTAAACTAACTGCTATCCAAGAAGGTTCTAAGACTAAAGTTGACGTCTAGGTCCGTATAGAAACTCTGAAATCTCATAGTGTTTAGTGTAAACCCTATTTTATATACCTTTCAGCTCTTTGGACTTTGTGGCTATTTTTACAGCAGCTGACAATGATTTCCACAGGAAATGAAAGTGCAACACCAATGAACTTTCTGTGTGAAACACTTATTGAGAATGGAAGCATGTCCATTCAGTGTAACTCTCTGATATAAAGGGAAGGTGTGTAAAACACACAAATATTAAAGCAGTTTATGATTGAAGGACCTTGTTTTATATTTATTTTTATTGATCTTACCACTGGTTCACTTCTCTGTTAGGTATGTATGGAAACACTTACATCCTCCATTACAAAGAGGAAGCCTGTATTAACCGTTACAAATACGCATTAGCCTCACTGTCCAATATATATGTAATTATAGTGTAGAGGTTCATAAAATTGTAAATGAATAGTCAATATAGACGTAAAGGGCATAATATACTTCTGATATATTTACCTGCTTTTAAGCATTTACAGAACTTTGCTTCAGCGGTCCTAAACTTTTTCGGTAGGATCGTTTTTATTGTCTGTTTCAAAGCTCCCTATATTTAGCCAAAGTCTCAGCTCCCCCCAGCCCGTCCACTTATCTAAAAATGATTCAGCGGTTAAATGTCAGAGCTGTCCGTACCATTAAGGCCAGCGTGTTTGAAGGAAGGACACCCTCCCCTCCTTCTTCCTCTGTCTCTTTATATCCCCTTCCTCCCCCCCGTTAGCTCCCACATCATCCAGCACCCCCTCACCATCGCTCCAACCCAGGCTGGTTCGAAGGCTGATGTGCAGGCCTTGTCATTCAGATTAAGGCCACATTGTCAGCTCAGGGCTCTTCTCTCTTTAGTTTCGTGTCCCGTTTCTTTCTTCCCACTGTCAGCCACCCCGTCCCGCGGCCAGAAAAGACCTTATAAAGCTACACTCTCTCTCATCCACTTCTGTCAATTCAAACACTGTCACTCACACCACCATTGGGGGGTTTGTCGCAGCAAGGACTATTTGTTTATATATAATGTTGGACATGTTTTTATATATAGATATATATTTCATCAGCTAACAAACAGAGTTGTAGACTTGATTTTTTTTTTTTTTTTTTTTTTTGGGGGGGGGTTTACTTTGAAGTGAAGAGATCTTCATCGGATACAAATAAAATGACAGCAGTGGCATGAGATGTGAGGGTAAAAAGAGGCGGCATACTCCTCTCCACAAGTCTTAGTACTCTTTGTAGTAAAGACAGCAAAAGCTGTTATTTTAAAATCAAAGTTGTACGAGTGCAGGGGTATTTAGAGAGGGATTGGCAGGTGGTGACACATTCAGCCAGAATGCCTTAGTCACTCCTTATCCTGCCCTGTTAAAGCATCCCACAATGATGTTTATCACCCAAACGAATCTTGACTCACCAGCGTAGTTGCCGTCACGTCCTGTCTAATTACTACAGCAGCTCTGCGGCATTTGAGTTTCAAATGCTTCTTACTGTCTGCGCGTTTGTCTTTCCTTCCCAAGATGAGCAATGATTCAGCACTGCCTAAGATGGTGGACAGTTTCTCTCTTGGTATTAGTGCAAAGAGAGAGGAAACAAATATAAAGCACATTTGAGTCTTTCAGTCCTCAGACTCAGGGGACCACATCATAACGAAACATCAAGCGTTACTGATCGGGGTGAGTCGGCAGTTTCATACCCGTTCTCTCCCTCATCCTCAAACTTGCGCTGAAGCCTTTGAGGCATGTCGATGCTCCTCTAGAGGCCGAGCAGCTGTGCTTCAAAACAGCAAAGAAAGAGAAAAAAAAAAGACAGCCAACTGCAGCTCCTGCCCAGGTGCTGTGTTAACTAAGAACTACTATGAGTCAGGAGTTTCAAGATGACTTTCTTTGTGTATCTGCTACTTTCAGCAAAATAAGACGTGTTCCCATGCACTCACCGTCTGTGTAATTTTGACTGTATTTCATGGAAGTTAAATTACGCTCGCATCACTGCTCGGTTTCTAAGATTTAAAGAAAAGGTGAGTCAAAATTGTTTCTTTTCTTTCATGGGCTGCGGTGGAAGAAACTACTGGGGGAGGAAAAGTCTTTGCAAAGACACACACTTGTTTTTGTGTCACATTTGGAATTTTTTTTTATTATTATTATTTAAAGAAATGTTTTGGATATTTAAATCAAAATGACCAAAATGTTATTGTCATGTAACTGGGAACATGACAATAACATAACTAATACAGAGTTATGTTATTGATACCCTTGGCAGATTTAGGGTTGAAGTAATTTTATCAACATGTTTCTTTTGTCCGTTATTATTTTTGAAGACAGAGTTCCAACTTGAAACTGATGGGAATCTGTTGAAGGAATTAAAGATTAGGGTGATGGCAAGAAGGCCTTCATGTCAAAGACTTGGAGCTCATCTTGGACAATAAATCATCAAGATGATGATTTATTATTCATAAATCACCAGAAGCTCTTATCAGAAATCATAAAAGGGTGTGATTGCTTTAATCTGATAAAGATCTAAAATTGATTATTGGGAAGAATTTTTAACATGCTATTTATTGTATTAAAATGATTTTAAAAAAAAACTTTATATACGAAATTAAGACTTCTTTTGTATTTTCTTATCTATCACGAGCAGACTTTTCCATTTTGTCTTGGTCGAATGAAGCAAGTTTTACGCCTAAATCTGCCAGAGGGATGAATAATGTTGAGCTTTACTGTAACCAGTTCAAGCATTGGTTAGCACATAATCAGTAAATGTCCAACGATGTTGCTGTCTTTGGTAAAGCTCCCATGACCTTTTCTGTTTACTTCTGAAGAATGAAAGAAAGATTTATGAATATGCAAGTCAGACATTTCTCCACCCACAGAGCATCCACGCTTCGCCCTCATTTCTACACAGACTGTCATCTCTGGTCGCCGTCCGGTTCACGCTTGCCACAGTGAACATTCAACGCTGTCGGTGAGTTTGAGCGTAATTTAACAAAAACCATCGACCGTTGACTGTACCCTGCGGACAGCTTTTGTCACTAGATGTATTTTAAAAAGATGAAGATAAAGCCCCACCACACGAACCAGAGGAAGAACGGCTGACGACTCCTTGGGAAGGAAAACAATCCGGACATACTTCCAGCTTTCTAAATCACAGCAAAGGTCACAATCAACATTCATTGCTGTCGGTGGGTTTGACTTTGTGGAAGAGCTCACTGAACGATGAATGCAACTGTGTCCCAGATTTCATCCGACCGTCACAAGGAATGTTGTCACGACGCGCTGATGATGGCATTATTTATTTCGCCTGTCTCCCTCCCTCAGCTACCGCGATGCTGGCAGTGTGAACTGCCTTCTTGACAGTTTGGCTTTAAGAGTCACAGAAGAAAAGACAGTGAAACTACACTTAGGACATGAAATGCTAGACATGATTTTGTTGTGAACTTTGAACTAAATGGACATTTCTTTTCTTTTTTTCTTTTTTTTTTGTGCACATTGTAATTGGAGTAGTTAGTATGTAAAGGTATAAAACGGCATAAATCAGGTGGTCTTTATTTCTGTGATGTTTCCAGGAATTAAGTTACTACAATACATAAGAATTTAAATTCACTGCGTGTTTCTAATTCTTAACACGGGGCATGCACTGTCTTTGATGAATTTCAATAAATCATCACACTCTAAGTTCTCAGTGAAGTTGTTGATACTCATTGATTTTCCAGGGGAACATGTGAAATTGATGATGTTGGATCTAACGTAGTCAAAGCTCCTCTTCTGAAACATGAATAAAAACGAAAGCTATCTGCAATATGCAAATCCCACTGATCAAAGCACCTCAAGCCAAGATGTAAAAAACAAAAACAAAAAGTGAATGCAGCTGTCAAGATTTAGTCTTCAGATTTTAGAAATATTATAGCAAATTTTGACACATTGTGTTTGATGAAAATGTAAAATATAGAGAGAGCCCTCTTAGAATACCAGAAGTAAATTTGTGAAGTAAAAACATGACCAGTTAAGTCATTCTAAAGCTTTTTTTTTTCCACATATAATTTGGCATTTATCTTTTACAACCCAAATTAAAACCAATTTCTTCTAGAATTTTATTTTTTACAATATTTTTTTAGTCGGATTTACTACAATTAATATTATTTGAGTGCTTAAACTGAATGGTAAAACTAAACTCAAAACGTATTTCAGGTTGACTGAAGGATGTGCTTCTCCAATGTGTCCATGAATTTTAAGCCACATTTTTTTTTTATTTCCAGTGTTTTACAAATTACGCTTCAACAATATGCGTTTCAACAGGATAAATGTAACAATTAAAGGTGGAAAAAGTTTTTGAATTATTTATCACGGCCTTGCTTAGTTTTTCACATTACAAAATTTTATATGTTAATTGTGTTGGACCATTTTAACTAAGAAAAATAAGCAAAACTGCTCTTATATTTTTCACGTTTCCCTGCCAAGCTGTATTCTTGGAGGTGGGATAGGATACATACATAGTTCCTACATCAATGTACAAGCAACTGTGCATTTAATGTTGTTAAAACACACAAACGTCTAACACCACCCATTCAGTCCCCTATAACTACACCTAGAACTTTAAAAAAGCTGAAATGACGTTTTATTCTACATGTTTATTTTAATTGGAGCAGAATACAAAGTCTAAAGTCTTATTTCTAAATGTCTAAAATAACATTTCAAAATGTTGTACTGGTGAGGTAGCTAGCTTATGTTTCCCTCCACAGAGCACTGCACAGCTGAGGCAGGAAGGAACCTTCTTAAAAACATAACTGAAAGGTGCTAATTCTGAAATAAAACCACATCTTGGCCACAAACTCTAACAGACCCCATTTCTTTTTGACAACTCAGAGGTCATGACTGTTCAAAATGGCTTTATGCTTTCATATTATTTTTATACTTGCCTCTGCCTACGCTGCACCATTATAGATGACTTTTCACATCCCTTTATTATATAAGAATTCTCATGAAAAGTAAAAAGTAAATTGATCCTGAGCAAATAAGCAGTGACTGACGAAATCTGCAGCCCTCTCTTCACCAGATTAGATAATGCGTCATTTGGGTCACTGCTTTAGGATTAGCAGCAGCCTTAAAGAAAGGGCCTGTGGTGATACGGAGAAAATGATGATGATGATGATGCTGGTAAGAAAGTGCTGCCTCACCATTACCAAGAAACTGCAGCTGAAACTGAATGAGTCACACTAACAGTAAAGAAAGCCAATTCTTGAAAAACAGATTCACCTTTGATTAAACAAAACCCATCTCGCACAACCAAGTGGATGCAAACAGTTAATTTCTCTGTTCACTTGTGTTTTTTTTGTGTGTTTTTTTGGGAGACTGATGCAAGTAAAGCTCAGGGTTTCTGCGAGATTTAATCAAGATGTGCAATTTAACTTTAAGATCACCATAGCGGAAAAAAAAATAGGTTAATCGCATAAGTTAAACATATAAAATCTAACTTAGGTAAACAGTTTGATGGTTTTCTTCTCCGTTTTCTTTTCATGCAGGTATGAATGAGACTTCGTCTCATTTCAGCTCCTGATGAGAGGTTTTAAAATTCCTGTTTTCAGGTCAAACCACTTTAAAGCTACTCTTTTCCATGACGTAGGAGTCAGTTTGAAGAGTAGTAAGCAAATTTTGATTTTGATTGCTTAAACCTTGCAATTTTTATGAGGAATCACCATGCTTATTACACAAAAAATAGTTTGAAGCATGTAATGTTAAATAATTGAGCCAATTTAATATACAACATTGTACAATCTAAAATTTTCATTGTTTAAATTAAGATTTTAAATACTTTTTAAAACTAAATTTTAGCTATAAAATGTTAAAGGAGCTAAACTGGATCAAATTATCTTTGGATTTCTCAAATTCTTACAATGATCAGTCGATCGAGGGCGGGTACTAAATAAAGTGAGCGAATGAAATCAATAGCATCCTTAGTCCACTAGAGGGACACCAAACAACAGGAAGCAGACACTGAAAACTCAGCAGGATACAGTTTAATGTGAGCTTCCCACATTATCCCTCCCTCTTTATAAAAACAGTGAAAGAAATGTGCAAGGAATGGAGAAAAGCAGTGATATAGACAGTCTAGTCAGAATGAAAACACAGTTTCATTGACTATATAAAGACATTATTTTATGATAAATGAAATCAAACAGATGCATCAAAACAGATCCGAGACGGGGAGCTTTATTTTCAAACTACAAAAGAAATCAGAAGTAATGCACACATATGTTTTTTTTCATGTTATTACGACCCTAAAAGTGAGCTTTTAGATTAATCAATTAAAATTAAACCTTCAGAAACCTGAGTTGTAGTGCTTTCTTTGATATGTTTTACTAAAGTGGCGATTGGTTAATTTTGCTTTAAATGGAATGTAAAGCAAATATTCTAAAACACAAAGTCTGCATTTGTCAGAGCTAATGCTTTTTTTTTTTTTTTTTCCTGTCGTGCGAGTCTCTCAGAGAGCTCATCAATCGTAATTCCCTGTGGAGATAATGAGTGATTCGGAAGCTCACTGCTTGGGTCACTGATGTGTAGTAAATGAGATGGTAAAATTATGGAGATCGTGACACCAAGTAACAGCTGTGATAACCCCTGAGATCCAGCATGCAATCTAAAGATATTTCACGTAGGAACAAAGTTTAAACTAGTTATGCCAATAAACAGAAACAACTCATCATCTACTTTCAAGCTAAGATTTTTTTCCTTTTATGTTTGAAAAAAAATAGAATTGCTCACTAATACATCACTTATTTTTAATCAAAACTAAATTAATACAAGCTATGATCACTAAGCTATGTAAAAAAAAGAAGTCTCACATTTCATGAAATATAAAGTTAATTTGAAATTCTTTATCTGTGACCTTTAAGAAAAAAAAAAAAAAAAGCACTGGCCCATAAGTAAAAATACCATTTTTCAAAATGAGTTGTGGCATAAATCCAGAAAGATGAAATGCAACAGAATTCATTGTTTTGTTCACGTCATAAAAAAGCTAAGACAAAGTTATTGTGAGTTTCTCAAATTCCACAAAGAATATCCACTGAAAATGTATAAATAGCATACTTATTAAAACAGACAGTGAACTCTAAAAATCCATTGCACAGTTGTCTGCATAAGGATCAACTGTATGTACAGGCTGCTGCATTAAAAAAAAGAAAACTGTACTGGTGTTGGGAGAAAGAACCATCCCTGATAAAGAGCTTAAAGCGGCTCATGTGGCTGAGGTCTGTCAGTATAGCGGTATTTCACTCGACGAGTGTTGGTGTTTTGCAGCTAATAGTGCCTCCCACAATTCCTACTACTGTAGGGCTCTTTACTGCCTGATGTCTGCTGGTCTGAGCTGTCTCTCACCCTCAGCCAGGAAGATCTGCATGGCTCGGTATAGCAGGTGGATCCCGAGCTCCCGTTTCCTCTTTAGCTCCCAGTTTGACACCACGCCATAGAAATCTCCTCGCTTCTGATTGGTCAGCATCTTTAGCCCTGGAATAAGGACAGTTTGGTCCAAAAATGTTGCACTCAAGTAATTTCATACAAATTAAACAAGTCTGTGAAAACCACTTCCGTAAGATACTGGTAATGTCTACAATAGACACAACTAAATAAGTTTAAGTGTGGTCAGTAGATGCATCAATGGTATTTTTCTTAAACTCATGCCATTTATTTGATCTATTCTGTCTTTTATACTAAATAGGGAAAAACATTTTCAGCTAAAATATTTTTTCATTGTACAACTACAAGATGTGTGAGCTCCAGCACCAATCCTTCCTCACAGTTTATCCTCTCAATTCTAAATATACATGTAGTGAAATGTTTTCTCTATCTAATCTCTTTTACTCTCTGACATAAAAAAAAACTGAGGAAGAGAGACAGAGAGAAAGGAGGGGTAGAAGTCAAGGCACTGCTGTTTTTTTTTATTTAATGTCATTTTTGGACTGTTATTATAAAGAAAGTGTTTGTGTAGAAAGCTATCTCAACACCAACACAGAAAACGAAAAATAAGATATTTTAAGATTTTAAAAAGGACTAATCTTGCTTTTTTTTAAACTTGAAATTTTCAATTTGTTTTTTTTTTTTTAATAATAATTTGCTTTCATCACAATGAGATCTATTAAAAAATGCCACATTATGGTAAACTCTTGCTATACACCAGGGACATTTTACAGTACATTTCACTTATCTGTTGTTCAATTTTTTAAGATAATATCTTTAGATTGAAGAATGATGTGTATCTTTTTGATTGTCTGATATGTTATATTTAAGTGATTTTTAGAGGCTAAAAGTCAAGCACAGTTCAGATCTGGGTGTCGCTAGTAAAGCTTTCCCAAAATGAGGTTAATCACAGTTAATTTATGATTTAACAAGGAGTGTAGTAGCTGCTCAACATAGACATCACTATAGTTTTGGATAACTTTTATACTTTAATAAATGAATCTGTAATATGAGTATTTACTTTTGTTACTTTTGTGTGATTTCAAATTTACAGTGAGGGGAAAAAATTAAAGCATTCAACTTTAGAAAAAGTCAGGAAGGGAGGAAACTAGGGCTGTAGGATAATATCGATATCGCGATATATATATATATATCG